TAAACACGAAAATACCAAAGCAAACAGCATCCTCAAAGGGCAGGAAAGCCAAAGGCTCAGATTGATCGGGTGCATCTTGTCCAGCCTTGGGCCCCCCCCCCCACCAATGGCTTGAGGGCTTGGGGGTTTCCGAAAGTAGGGGACCCTGATATAGTACCCTAAATAGTAGGAGCCTTATTATAAGGACCCCCAGAATAAGGTACCCTCTATTTTGGGAAACTCCCATATCTCCTGATCTATTGGGTTTAGGGTTTACACTCTCGCAGCTCGGACAATCCAGGCGAGGTCTCAGGCGTAGTCGGGGTGAAAAGCATTGAGGGCTTCGACTCTCATTCTCGCACACAACAGGCAAGGCTCCACATATGTTTAGGGTTTCCTCTCTTCGGAGCATTGTGGGATAAGTCGACTCTGGGGCTGCTGAGGGGTCTCGGGTCCACGGCTTGCGATGGGGTGGGATGGAGTGTGCAGCGTTTAACATGACGTCACCAAGGCACCGCTTGCACAGCAGCCGTGTACATGCTTCGAAAAACTCGTCGTCCGCAAAGAGCTGCCGACTGGCCTGCTTGAGCAGCTCGTACGAGGGCCCAAATGCTAGCCAAGCTGTTGGGTTTATGTTTTGCACAGATGTCCACCTCAACCTCCATGTACGAAGATCTTACAGTAACCTACCAACTAGTCCCCCAATGCACTGCAGCCCCGAACAGCTTGCCAATGGCTTCTCGCAGATGGAGAAAGACGTCTGAAAATCTAACCTAGCACGGACAGCACAAACACGGCAAAGACACACTTGTGCCTCTGCATCGGTGCTGAAAAAACTTTTGGCGGCCCCTCCAGAATCTCGGTTCTTGTCCACGCTGTCTTTGCCACCGAAGAACCAGAAGCAGCGGTATTGATAGTCATGCCAGGACAGCACGCGGGGGAGCCAGGATTCAAACTCGAAGCACGCGCGGCGGGCCAACTCCTCCGTTGAAAAGCCGAAGTCACTCGCGTGCCCCTCCTTCATGATCGCTTTCCTAAGCGAGAGACGCATTTATCATAGTCAACTCGATCAACACACGTCTTTAACTAAACTAAAGCTCAAGACAAGCTCCACAAACAGGTCCAACACACCCAGCTCCTGGTGCCGCTGGGTCGCAGTTCCGGTGCGGTAAAAGTCCACACAGGACCCTCCTGCGAGAAGTCGCTCGTAAGATCCGCCGGCACCAGACTCGGTTCACAAACGGCTGGCTGCTCGAAGCTAGTTTCAGCAGTACAATGGTTGTACCAGTATGCCTGGCAGTTGACTTGCGGATGAGCCATTCGCTCTATCCAGCCATCCTTCAGCACCCGCGTGTTTCGCGAGTTCCAATCCCAGTAGGACTGAAATTCTTCCTCCGATCCGCCATCCAAGCTCATGTCGGGGAGAGATGCCGTGCGGTCCTTCGAACATGGGACACCCGACAAACTCAAATCTCTTTAGCCAGCTCCACTGCACACGCGGTCCTCCTCATGTGGGACATCGGCAGACACGAAGAAGTAGTGCTTCAGATTGCCACTAATCCGTTCCGTGCTTGTGACGCCGTTGGTGCTATCCAACCGCGCTGAACCTCCAAACAAACATGGACACCCGATACTCGCAACCCTTTACCAGGGACCAGCTGACAGAAATCTTCGTCCCACTGCGGATACAAGCAGGAAAGAACAATAGAGGTGGAGCACAGGCTGCAGGCACCCACGTCTGCTCGCGCTTTAACTCCCAAAACCTCAACCCCAAATCCCAGATGCTTGCGTTAAGTTCGGAGCTCAAAATGCCGAAACTGAAATCCTAAAGTGCTAAGCCCTACAGCATGGAAACCCTTGACCCCAATCAACAAACGCTTCTCTCTGGCATCAAGAGGCCAAGCCCATAGCCAGCATCAGACTCGTGGCGCCGAGCGCCAGAGACCTTACAGGCTTAAGGGTATGCACATGTATGAACATGCATGAACCATATTTGACGTTCGTAGCGTTTAGCAGTTCTGCCAGGTCCGCATGCGCACGCGCGGACATATATATATATATATATATACATACACATATGTATATATATATATACACATACACACACACACACAAACACACCCACCCACACACACACACACACAGCTTGTGAGGCTCGGGGCTTATAGGGCAACTAACAACTGAAAGCCATCATTTTCCCACCTCCCAAACACAGAAAGACTAGAGCGCCTAGGCCGCAACAACAAAAGACGCACGATCCACGAAAGAACCAAACTAAAAGAAACAACCCCATTTATAAACCTGTTTGGGGAGAGAAAACCCGCAACCCCACAACCCCAAACCCAAATACCCAATACCCTAAACCCTAAAAACATGAACCCTCCCACCCCGAAACCTTAAACTCTCAAATCCTGAAACCCGAAACATTATAAAACCCTAGAGCCCACTTGCGAAAAAGGCCAAGAGGCCCAGGTGCGCCTTGTCCCGAGGTCCTCTTTCCCGGCCTTCGAGGCATCGCCAGCCTTCGAAGCCTTCTTGGCGTAGTAGGAAGCAACCTGGCCTTAGATGGGAGTTTCCGATAAAATGAGGGGTACCTTATTCTGGGGTCCTTATAATAAGAATCCTACTATTTAGGGTACTATAGGTACCTTATTTGGGGTCCTTATAATAAGGATCCTACTATTTAGGGTACTATCTCAGGGTCCCCTATTTTCGGAAACCCCCAGATGGGTCTTGGTCTAGGTTAGGGCGCAGAGACGTAACCTGGCCTCGGATAGAAGTTTCAGTTCCAGTGGCTTTTCGGGCTTTGAAGTTTGCGGTGGTTTGGGGCTTGGGGCTTTAAGTCTCCAGTCCTGTACATCTCGGGGCTGACGGTTCTTAGAGTCTTAGAGGTTACTAAAGTTACTAAAGAAAAACTGCCACAAAGCAGTCCAAAAGGCGCATGCTGCATCCCACATCACACAACGTTGGCGACTCTCTTCGTTCTGCTTAAGATATCCATGCCTCTGTTTCTCCTGCCCGCTCCTCAACGTTTTGTGTTTTGTGTTGTTTTTGTTTCTCTCTCTGTCTCTCTCTCGCTGTCTCTGTCTCCATCTCTCTCCTGCACTCCCGCTCTTACTCAGTTTGTCATCGAAGTTACGGTGGTGCCTGGACTTCCGAAAAAACTCCAAGACTTCGAACCCGTGGAGTCTAGACTCAGAGCACCATGTCCCGAACCGCAAGAGCCTCGGGCCCTGAGCCTTCTCCTGCAAAGCCACCCAGTCCCAACCCAGAGTTGGAAGCTTACTTGTCGGGTATCATGGGGAACTAAAGGTTAACCTTTGGGGTTATGTAGGGCTTATATAGGGATTGTACTACCCCAAAAAGGTTAAAGGTTACCTACCCTACTACTAGGGAAAGCAAGCCAAGGCGCCCTCATCTTCCAGGTCGCCGGGGGTTGTGACATCCCAGCCTGTGCATACTGGTAGCAAAGATCATGGAACCCGAGCCCTGTGATTTACCTGGTTTGGAATCTACACCTATAGGCCTCAGCTCTGTTGAAGGAACCCTGCCCTAAATCCTTGAGCCGTATACTTGGGCTGTCGAACATCTTGCTGGGGTCTCCAGGGAGAAAGGCGAAGGCCTCGTGTTTTTCAGCCACTACTCAGGGCAAAGAGGCACACCAGCCCAGAGAGCTTCTAGGATTGCAGTACTCGGATACTAGTGAAGAGGATGTCCAAGCCCAGCTGTCTCCCCAGGATTCCCCAGGAACATACCATCTGAAAAGGACACCCCCCCATGCAAAGAGTGTAACACCCACACAAGGAAGCATGGGCTGTTCTTGAAGCGAGGAAGCCTGCCATCTCGAAACCTGTCAGCGTCAGACCATTGGCTACGATTTCAGATGGGAGTTTCCAAAATTAGGGTTCCTTATTTGGGGGTCCTTATAATAAGGATCCTATTATTTAGGGTTATGGGGTCCCCTATTTTCGGAAACCCCCAGATCAGTTCACCTACATCTGCGATCCTCGATGAAGTGTCGCGGGAGCCATGATTGCAGCACGCGCACATGGCTTTGTCTAGGGCGGTCTCGTGCTTGCAAGGGCTATACGTGGAAAGCCTGCATACATGGAGAAGAAGTTCAGACGTCATCCCCCTAGGCTTTGAACTCGGTGCTATCTGTTTGTCTCAGGTGACAGCCATGGGCATTGTGCTTGCTCTTGCAACCCAATATCTGCTCGATGGCTTGCAATACCTATAGTCTCCATTGCAGTTCCTTTTTGGGGATACCTTATAAAATTCCTAATATATGTTTGGTTAAACCAAAAAAGGAACTACAATGGAGACTATAGCTAAGAAAGCAAGGGTGCAGCACGGCGGTCAAGGTTTCGAACACCGGTGCAAGCTTGACTGGGCAAGAGGCCGCCTTGCCTCGCTTGTCTACTCCATATTACAGCCGTGAAATGCTAACTGCTTTCTCATCTTTCTCCTAAACCGACGATATAGGCTTTTGGTGTTATTCTGAGGTGTCGCTGCACAACCTGTGCAGAGTTTGCAGTCCATGGCTGCTGCCAGGACTTGATGTGGAAAGCTGCAGACGGCTTCCAGCCATTGATCTTACAGTCGTACGTACCCCAGCTCGCACGACATACAAGCTGCATGGACTCGATCACTCTTTCTACCAATCTGTGCATCTCTCACCCGCTGTGGGTTTAGATGTTGGCCGCGGTGGGATGCAGAAGCCGCCCTGCCTTTCTACACGGGCTTTTGGCATTTGGATGGCAATTCCTTGTGCCGTCCCTCATAAAGTACAAGCTACCATGAATCCGGGAGACACAGAGATTGTTGACAGGGTTGTCATACCCTTAAGCCCGAAACCGTGAGCACGAATCATGTGTGTAAATCTCGAACCCCAAGACATAAACCCTGCAAGCCGTAGGCCCTATTCCCTAAATCCAGCACCCTATCTACCTTGGATTCACAAACCTAAAATGCCAAGCCTAGAAAGCTAGAAAGCCCTTTCCGACGGCTGGGGCCGCAGCAGACGTGAGCACAGGCGGCCACCACAAAGCAACGGAGCGCTCCCAGCGCCGGGAAACCGCCAAAGAGGGAGGCGCTGCCCCAAAGGACCTGCAGGCTCTTTGAACTCATCAGAAAGCCCGAAACCCTGTTTGGTTTAGGGTTTAGGGTTTAGGGTTTAGGGTTTTACTCTCTCTACATACAGACATAGATGGATAGGTAGATAGGAAGGTAGGCAGGAAGGTAGGTGGTAGATTGATCTCGAGATCGCTCGGTCGATACTGAGCTATTGCTATATGTATGCAATGCATAATGCTGCAATATAATGTTGTCCTGTATTCGGGGTACTGTAACGCCCTTAATAATTAGAATAGGGTTTTGGGTATAATATACCCTAAACCCTATTCTAATTATTAAGGCCCCTATATCATAAGTGGGCTTGAAGCACCAACCACAAAAGAGGGGTTGAGGTTCCTAGGAGGTTTTGTGTTGCCTGTAAGGACTCTTAGAGACCTCTTCTCTGCCTGCCAACCCAGTTAGAACGCCTAATGGGCTGAGGTAGTAAATCCTAGACTCCTAGACACCACCATCATGCAGGACTCTATCGTACAGGCTTTTGGGGCTGAAGACTCTCGGTACCGCAGCTGGCACGAAGCTTTCGAGTTTCTGGCTTCGACTACTGGGGCTCAGAACTGCCAGGTTCGATTGTAGGTCTCTGGTGTCAAAATCCATCGCTCCAAGTCCCACCCTCCCGAACCCCAAAATTAAACCCTAAACCCTAAACCGAAACCCAAAATTAAACCCTAAACCCTAAACCGAAACCCAAAATTTAGACCCGACTGGGGCTCTCTTGCAAACATCCAAGGCCTGGCCCTCTGACCCTGGCTATCCTGTCGATAACTCGCCTCTACTTGGAGGATCATGGGACTTAGTAAGTAAAGTTTAGGGTTTAGGGTTTAGGGTTTAGGGTTTAGGGTTATGGTCTTGGAGGATCATGGGACTTAGTAAGTAAGGTTATAAGTCCCTTAATTGGGGTTATAAGTAAATCTAAGTATAGTTACCTTAAATTATAACCCTACTTACTAAGTGCCATGATCCTTTAAGTACTCCCTGAGGTCTAGAGCCTAGACAACGGCCTCGGAACTTGCGCCAACAAGTGAACAGAAGGTGTGGGGATGCATCATATTTTTCGCACGAACAACTCTCAACGCAGGGAGATTCGATATGATCAATTGGCCTAAAGCTGAACCACGGACCTGCAACCCTACACCCCAGACCACAAACGTCCAACTCTAACGCTTCAAAACTTCAATCAAACGTGCGACCTGGTGGAGACTGGTCACGAAGTACCCAACCTGAGCTGACGGAGCTGATGGAGCGGGCGGGGTGGGTTCGTGGGTTGAGGCTGTTGGGATCAGAGTCTTTAAATAATTTCAGGCTTGTGGAAAAAGAGGTGTTGAGGACTAGGACTCGGGGTTTGGAGGCGCAAGTTCACAGGTCATGCTTACAGGAGTTTGGGTGGATCTCAAAAGCAGTACGTTCGTGCTGCAGAAGTGTAACATGTTCGATAAAGGAGAAAGCTTTCCGCATGAAAGATGCTTTACTGACTTACTGCAAAGGTGGCCGATCGTCTTAGCCAGGGATGCAGCGACCTACCTCCGTATCTGCCGTCAGGGAAAGGAGGGGAACTGCTTACTCACGGAGACATCCCAAAAAGCTTTGTCTATACCTCACCACAAACGCTGTAAATCGACCTCATGTGCGGCTGCAGGCTCAGAATGAGAAGAAGCTGCAGAATCCCATCTGAGCATGTCAAAGGGAGGTGAGAGGTTACAATGGCTTCCATGGCTTCCTAGGCACGTCTCTGCGATCGCGACCTTGAAGAGCCCGACAAGAACATGTTCTTCCGCTATTTTCCGAAGCCGGAACTCTGCGAAGGCCAGGTAGGAGCGCCCCTTACAGAAATTCACGTTATAGCACCCCGTTCAGGCAAACACGCGGACATGGAAGCGCAGGTGCCTACATATATACCGCACCTGAATCCCAGCGGTACAGGTGACGATGGGCCACCACTTCTGCCCAGCCACAGCAAGCAGTGTCAGAAGCCACTTGCGGCCCTTCTCCTGAGAAGCAGCTTTGTTTTTGGCTTTAGGCTCTGGGCGACATGCAAGCGGACCGCTCTTGCGACATTCATCTAGGAGACGTCATTCAAGAACCGCATGAACACATCCAGTGCAGTCCAGGAACAGGAAGCCTACTTGAACAAACGCTCAGAGCCCTCTGTATGAAATGCGGGTAAGACGAGCTTCTGCACAGAACTGACATGAAGTGCTAAACAAAAAACAAAGAAACCCTAGTCGACACTTGGGATTCGGGATCCCTCCCTTAACGGCCGAATGATTGCTATTATCGCCCATATAACTACCCTTCGGATATGCTCGGTTATGAAGCTGCTTCTGGCTCCGGAAACTTTCATGCAGAGCCCGGCCCTATTGCGACATGTCGGCTAGTAACTAGCTCAGTAGGTGTGCAGCCATTTGCCCTCCAGAGTTGAAGTGTAATCAGGGGGATCTCGGGGGACGAAGTGTAGCAGGGGGGAATCGAGGCAGTTCGACGCTGTGGTTCAAGCCCGACCAGCTTGGTTTCTGTACATCTCCAACAGGAAGCCATTCATGAGGAAGTAACACTTTATACTCACTACTCATGACTCATGCTCATACCAGACTAACATCCACAGTTTGTGATAGCGCGCAATGCGGGAGGCAGAACCTGCTGCCATTGTCACAGAAGCCGGTAAACAAACCCAACTTCAGCTGAGTCTCGGCACGGAGAGCCATTTTGAACTTAGGAAGCCCCTCTTTGGCCAGGGTGCCTGGCAATCGTCGTAGGAGTGCTGGATGATTCCCCGATCGCAGTACTAGCGCAAATAAAGTTAGCACTAAACTTCACGAAAGGATACGAAAGGTACTACTCGACGAACCATAAAGGCCACAACGAAGTTGAGACCAGAAGACCACTGCACAAACACATACAAGCCTGCGCAGCCTGCGCCTAATTGCACACCTCCTCCTGCAACTGCTGCGACCACCACCGCCACCAACACAACCAAGACTGCTGCTTAATCTCACACCTGCTAGGGCTAGGACGACGACGACTCTTACTTGCACCCATGACGACTACGGTTACTAACCGTTACTAACCGCCACAACCACCACCACGACGACGACTACTACTGCTACTGCTAGTGCTACTGCTACTGATCGTCGTGACTCGACAGCCAGTGTTGAAGTGATGCAAAAAAAACCAAGAAGCCAAGCCAGCTGGGACTGCAGAAAACCCCTAAACCTTGACCGTAATGCTTAGATACTGAACGCGCCAGAACGCACGAACCCAAAGGCCTACTCAGTTAGCTGGGCACGCAAGAACTCTGACACCGCACTCCGAGGTCGTAAGCTTCAAGCTTCACAGAAGTTTAAGGACCGGAGAAGCCCGAAGCTCAGGGTGCAGGGATTTGGCCGAAGGAAACCCGAGCCAAAGTTCTAACAACGCGAGAGTACACCATGCGGCCTGGAAAAACCGAAAAAAGCCAAGATAGAACAGCTTGAGGCTCCCGGCCGTAGGCCGCTTTGCAACCGAAGCAGGAGACAAAGAGAATCGGCACCTACAGACTCAGACTAGTTCAGGGTCTGACGGGTTTAAGTGCGAGCGGGGTCCCACTAGACAGACTCGAAACATGCCAACGGGTATGGTTTAGCGATTTTTGGGCTCCATGGCCCGGCAGCAAGATCAACAATAACCTTGAAAGTACCTACGGGGAGCCCCCGTCGCGGAAGTCTCAACTTGGCCACCAATCGCAACTGAAAAGCGCTTAGGAACCATTCTTCGTGGGTGTTCGTGATGCTGAGTTGAATGGTTCTGGTGGTTTAGGAACCGACGTCCACCGCAGATCTGCTGCGACGCAGGTGGCTAGCTCAAGTCTAAGCGGCCTGTTTGCAAGAGTGTCTCAACTATATGGTCTTTATTTTGTGAGGTGTCTGCAACTTGATCCTACAGATACTGCGTAGGTGTCCCTGGCCTTGACTTCGTGACAGCATCCCGGCAACTTTTTCGCTCGGCAAGAAGGATACCCTAACTATACGCGCCACCAGCTGGAGAACGTTGGCTAAGCATGCACCAACTTCGATCATATTTTCGTTCATCTTCGCTTCAGGGTTTCGGGATGCACATTGTTCCGCAGGTTTGGTTGCCAGGAGGCAAGCGGGTGAAGTAAAACACTAAGGGGCTTGAAAGGATCTATACAGGGTTCTCTTTTTCGATCCCGTTCATTTAGAAATGAAAGGCCCTGTATTTAGTGTAGCAATCAGTTCTGATCTGGATTCTGGCTCAATAATCCTGGGGTTTAGGACTTTGGGGTTTCAGGTTTACGAACGACGAACGTTCCCAGGAATCGCTGTCGCTGGCGGCAGGCCAGCGGGCATGACCTCGGCCACATGACATCGCCGAGAAATCAATTTCGGGCCCCATCAATGATTGATACGCACTTGCATGTTATTCCCCTCTAATTCCCTTGTAGTTCCCCTCTAGTTTTCCTCTAGCTTGGTCATCGTCTCCACTTCTTCCTAACACAAAGCAGACTGGCAAGACTGACTGCGCATGCCTCTTTTCACTCGTACCGCCGAGACTTGCGTGCCAGTGCCTGCTCCCAGAGGGCTGCTGAGGGAGGCTTTCCGACTGGCAACGCTCCTGTCGAAACACGTGGGACTTTACGAAGCCTGGCCCCTGTCCACATCTTGGCACGCTTCTGGCGAGCTTCGTAAAACCGGTGCAAAGTCTTTGACCCGTCGCCCAGCGGCCATCGTCTGGCTCTCGCTTTGCGATCGAGGCAAAAGAAGGATGCTGACTGGCCTGCCTGGCCCTTGATCTCGGCCCATGCTCGGGCTATGAAAAGGTCGGTCACCGCACCACTGCCATCGATGTTGTGATGTCGCAGATAGACCTCCCGCGTGGCAGTCGCATGGCGAGATGTGAGGCTTCAGGGTCTATAAGGACTGGCTCATTTACGATTAAAGTTTGCCAAGCGGCTTTATTGACAGCCCGACCAGCAGACAGCCCACACCTTTTGGTGTAAAATTTCAGCTGACTTGCTATCGATTCACATCTGGCTTCACTACCTGAGTCGCGCAGAGGTTTCATGGAGAAGTCCTATGCTCATGACTGCATGGAGTGACTGGTGTAACTGCATGACAGGGTGCAAAGAATGGACCCAGTGGCATGCCAAACCCAAAATAGCTGAGCACAATCCGCTGGCTGACACCCCTCATGGCTGTGAGTCATCTTCCAAAATTCGAGCCAGACCAAGCTCTTGTGGATCTTGTCGATGTTGCCGACCTTCCCTTGCAGGGTCCTTATTTAGCACAGAAAGAAGTCAAGTCAATGCAAGCTTCCAGCGAATTACGAAACCAATGTGGCAAGGAGCTTCGGCGTGGATCGGGGCGTGAGACGGACGGTATCTCCGACTTGCAAAGGTCCGGACCGACCCATTTGAAAGCTGATCACCCAGCTGGCGGGGACTTGCACGACAGAACCGTTTGAAAACGAAACCTCATAAGCATGGACTTGCCAAATGCTGTCCTGAGATTTCGCTGTGCTCCACCAAGACTTGACCAATGCAATGTACTGTCTCCGCAGCTCCTGTGGCGTCATATTCTGGGCCAGAGGTAAAACATGCTTCCATCGGCGCAGGGCCCATGGAAGCAGGATATCACATGCCTTCAACAATGGCGTCCAAAAGCTGGGGTTGTCTCTGACTGGCTGACCTGTCTCGGGAGCCTGCAAAATTCTCTCCATATTGAAACCTCAGTCTTGGACGTCTCAGGACATGATGGAAGACCTNNNNAATTGGCAGGGCTGAGCACCTGTGGTCCTGCGGTTAACTGTCGCAACAAAGCCAAGGAACATACGCAAGCTGCATCCAGGCAAGGCCGGGGTACTTGAACAGCTTCATTCTGCAGGACCTTCACTTGAAATTGTTGGCCCAAGCCTGCAAAGATGTTCTTGGCCAGCTTGAATCCTGCCACGACCTCGCGAAAGGACGACTGCCGCTCGGCCGCACTCAGCATGGGCAGCATGGGTGGAGTTGTCTGCTGCTCTTCGTTCAACTTCTTCAACTGCTGTTTAAGTTTTTCCTTGCGCTGTTTTTCGATGGCCGCCCATTCTTCCGGACCTGCAGCACCTCCGTGCACTGGATCATTGCCGAACCTGCAAGCCGCCGGGCCAAGCTAGGCTTCAGCCTTTATGAGTCGGTTTCGGTTCTAGGGTTCGGGCTTTAGGGCTTTTCTGGGTTATAGTTGCAGGGGGACGGGGGAAGAACGGAGCATGTAAAGGTTTTCATGGGCGCAAAACAACACCACAGCCCTATGCTAATACAACCACTGCGGATAGGCAGCCTCAGGCGAACATCCTGAAAGATGCCATAGCACAGAAGTCTCGGCAAAGCCAGGAGCGTTTTCCAACACAGATGCTTGAATGGACGGGTCAAGATCCAATACATGTCCAACCACTCTCGGACATGCAGGCCATGCCTGATTGCATCTGGCTTCGCTGGATCTTTGGGTGGCCGAACATAGTCTGCGAGAGTTGCAAGCAGATTCTCCAGCATGTGCGCCAATGCCTCACATGTCAGCCCCAAGTTCCGCAAGGTGCGCCGAATGCACTGGCCAAGGAGACGCTGCTCTATGAAAACAGCATCTGACCTTTGCAACATAAGAGCACCAGTCAGCAAACCACAATGTTCAGAGCTCTTCTGAAGCTTGAGACCATCCAATAGCACCAACATCTGTGTCACATCTTTCATGTTGGATTGGCGATACATTGCCATCTGCAGCTGCTTCATGCGCTTTGCTTCAGATGGGGAGTTCTTCAAGTTATTCCCCTTTGCCTTTGCTTTTGCAGTCGTCTTTGCCTTTGGACTGGCTTTTGCCTTGCCTGAAGACCGGAGTGCAAACTGCAAGAGGGTGTCTTCCTCGGAATAATGTATTCCACCAGGAAGCACTGGTGCTGCAACGACGCGAAGTGGTCTTGACTCCAAGAGTTTGTAGTAAGCAGCCATGGCGACATAGCGCGCCTCTTGAGTCTAGATCGGGATTGGGAATCGCACGGGGCAGGGGATGCCCAATCCAGAAAAATTGGGTTCAATTCTCGACTCCCGTCCACTGCCCGCTGCCCTGGAGGTCTTAGTTCTTAGCCCACGAGCTCCAAAAATACTTACCCTGACCCTGGCCCTGGCCCTTGTAATGCAAATGCGAACCCTGACAAACCCTGAACTCCAACTCAAGCCACCTGGAACTGTACCATTGCTTGCGTGAGGTAGCTGCCACAATACACGATGTACCGAGTCCCAGCAGGAGTCTGGATGCTGCATCGACGTCCATTGCAGTGCCGGCGAAAGGCCTCGCAGCAAAGGCACATACACTGCCGTCATAATCACGCCAAAAACTAGCGCTCTATTTTTGGTGCAGACACTCAAGTCAAGCCTGGCCTGGTTGAAAACCACCCGCCCCTGTCCTCTGCCAAGCATCCTTTTCTGGGCTCGCACAAGTCTCGACCATGTCCGAAGGACTGGCGCCGCGCCCGTGGCACTTGACTGGCCACTGCGCTCAGCCTGCTCAGCTTGCTGCCCGGCATCCGAGTGAACACTTTTGACTGAGCCGGAGCCGGAGGAAGAGCTGGAGGAGGCGGAACTTTGCAAGGACTCATTCGGCTCAGTCTTCTGAGTCTTCTTTGGCTGACTGGCTCGGTGCCCAAAGAACGGACGGCCCAGCCCGTCAATGACATGAAACAAGTCCGGGTGACCAATTCTGTACTCCAGGCCGGTTGCCGCTGCCAGATGTTGATCGACGCTACTGCCGGTCTTGCCGACCAAGGCCTCTGTTTCTCAATGAGGTTTCAGTTTCGGCCACATACTGGGCATACATCAGTTTACGCACACATCAATGCGTGTGTGCGCCAGTGTGCGCAGTAAGCACGGAAACAAACAATCGACGCTGCACCATATCAGCTACTAAACATCTTTTGTTCAGGCTGTTCTGGGGCTTGGGTTCCAGAGACAGAAAAAGAGCTTCAAGGCTTCTGTGGGCTGTTTGCTGGGGTTCAGGGATAGTTGGGGGACTCTGGTTTGGGCTCTTCGCCGACGTTGGCTTCCAAGGAACTTGATCTGCGCAGAGGGTGTTCAGCCCTGCCCAAAGCTGATCACGGAGCTTCTTGGTGGCCGCCGTGAGTTCATTGGCCGGACTGGCGTGTGACAGCAACCCATTTTCCTGGCCAGGAGCGCTCAAGTCTTCCTATCTTATTGCATTTGGAAGTATCACGTCTGACAGCAGAGACAAATACTGAGCTTGGTTCGACCGTCTTTTTGAGCAGACGTGCATCTGCATCGCCACTGTAGCTCAGACCATGGCTGGGGCAATCCAGCATTGCAGTCCTCATCCAGCGACACTTTCAAACGATTCTCACTTCCTACATGGAACAGAGTAACAGACTTGTTAAGGCTCTCGCATCAACTCGCCCTCTTCATTCGTGAAATGAATGAGCACAACAAACAGGCTAGTCCCATCTGGTACGGTCACCTCAGGCTTTCGGGCTCAGGGCCAGGCTCAGGCGTTC